TTGCAACAGGGTGAATTTGATTACCCTATTTGTGATGTTTTATGCCTGCTTTGTTGTTTGAATTGCCATCATGACTGCGTAGTTACTTTTATATTTGTTCTGGTTCATTTTTTTTATTATTTTGTATTTATGCACTCTATTTTTTGTGAACCACCCAGAGCTACGTGGAATCAGGTGGCATCCAAATTGAATATAATAACTAAAAAAAATAAGTTTTCCTTAACTCAGTGCATTTTCCTTAACTCAGTGCATTTGGTCATACTGGCTGATAATTCTGGGAGCCGTAGACCTAGCATTTCTGGAAGACAAGTGGTCAAGCTGCTTTCCTTTAAGAACAGCTTCTAGCAAGCCAGAGATTCACCACCCCTATTTCCATACAAAACATCTATGTTTGGGTAATGATTGTTCTAAAATATAATGTATTGATAACATAATGATTTTATAATATAATGATTTCATTCATTATAATGATTTCATAATCACTATAATGTAATGAACTTACTTTGTTTGTTCTGTCATTTTATATTCAATGATTTTAATGTTTTTAATGTTTATTATGCTGTAAGCCATCAGTAATTTGAAATGAGATGGACGGCAAATAAATTGAATATATAAAATAAATACATTAATTGTTTATAGTTCTGGTTTAGCTGTGGCTTGTAAACCATGCTTATGTCTTTGTACGGTGTGCAATATCAACTGTAATTGGAACTGCCCTTGAAGACCATTGAGAAGCTACAGGTGGTCTAGAATACAGTAAAATGGCTGCAATGAGTATGCCATGCTATGCCCATGGGTCCCTGCTGCTTTGTGAGTCCCTCTAATTGTTAGTAGCTTATGGATGCAGTTCACCTAGAGCAGGCATGTCAAACTCGCGACGTCACGTGACGTTGCGCGACGTATCGGAGCTTTTTCTCCATTGCCGGCAATGGGGTGGGCACGGTTTTGGGATGACACATCCGACCAGTGAGCCGGCAGTTTGACACCCCTGACCTAGAGTACTTTGGTCCTGATTATTTGAGGGACTGTCTATCTCCATCAGATTCTTCTGCCCATCCAATATGATTGGGTCAAATGGATGTGCTTCAATTAAACAATGCCATATATTAGGAGATGAACTAGCTACATATACCTTGGCCAATGGATCTCAATGAAAGGTGACACAATAAAGGAAACTGAATGGCATGTTAAATGTGCTTGACAGGCATTTGGCAAGCTAAGTGTAATTTTCAAGAACCACCTCTCCCTATGCCTGAAAAGGTTTCGATCAGTGTGTGTTATCTCCTCTAACATATGCTGGTAAAACATGGACACTAACCTCACAATCAGTACAAGCTATGAGTGGCGCAAAGAGCCATGGAAAGATACATGTGTGGCATTACAAGACAAGATAGAAAGACCTCCACATGGATTACAGAACAAACGAAAGTATACAATATCATCAAGAGAGTAAAAGAACTGAAATGGAAATGAGCTGGTTACAAGAACAACTGATGACAGGTGGACCAAGGCAGTCATGGAATGGGTGAGCCGAACCGAATTCGACCGAACACAGGCAAGGATACAGGTTAGATCCTACCTAGTGGCAATGAGGGTGGCGAGGTCTAACTACTACTCCACCCTCATTGCGTCATCCTCCAGTTGAGGGGGGGGAGGATCCCCTGGGGGGGAGGGCCGAGGATTTTGCTCAATATCTGTATGACAAAGTCGCTCGGATCCGAGAAGGTCTCGACTCTGACTGGGTGGCCCCGGGGGAGGAGACAGGAGTAAGTCTTGAGACTGTTATATGGGAGGAGTTTGACCCTGTGGCTCCTGAGGATGTGGACAGGATT